CTACTTGGAGGCCTAGCTTCTCCCAGTGGGTGCATTCCCTGAGCACAGGAGCAATTTGTTCTGATGTCCAACAGGGGTTGGGGACCCCAGAATATTTTTCTCATTACTGGTGGCCAGTGCGGGCTAAGTGTGCAGGGAGGTGGGCTGTGTCTGGCGATGCCTTCATAGGGCCTGGGGCCAATGTGAAGATGTGAGAAATTGGTATATGGCGTGTTTGAGCCAGAATCTCGAATCATTCGCCAGCTCTGCATTGCGAACACAACGAATTCCAAAACAGCTGATTCGATCTGTGAAGTCTGGAGGCACTCCCTTAAAAAAATATTCTGCGGTAGGCAGAGGTTCGTCTGGATTATTATTCCATGGTACCCCCTGGTCTAGTTTCTCCATAGTCAAAATAAATTATTCCAGGTCAATTTTTTTTAAATTATTCCCAGAAAATTATTCCTGGGGGTTACCCGGACCATGGAATAATTATTTAAGGGACAGGCCATCTTATATGTACCACTCGGAAAGAAGAAAGTGAGAGACTTCTCATGTCGGAAGCCAACAAAAAGCACCAAAGTGGCTGAATCTGAGCATGGAATTGTGTCTGTTAATTGTGTCTTTTAGATGTTTTTGTTTTTTTGGTGGTTTCCCGCACATGACCGTCGTCACCTTTTTCCCAGTCCTCTTCCAACTGCACCGCTTGCAAGAAGCGATCGTGGCATCTCTGCCGCTCAGCAGCTGTCAAAAGCTCACCCTCCTGGGTGAAGCCGGGTCACTCGAGGAAAACTTGGGTCAGCCCATGAAGAGTGACCCCCAAAATAGACAAAGTGCATGAAATTGGGTTCTTTTATACAATTCACATTAGTTTAGATATTAGTGTATATATCAGTTACTGTATATTGTGTTTGGGAATCTCTGTCCAAATAGTAGTTCTGAATTCTAGTATCACACTAAATATATATATATGGCAATATATGCACACAAAAAGCAAAAAATGTAAAAAACAACATGATGCAAAGAACCTCCAATCAACCAAACAACATATATAGCTAGTAATACACAATTGCTTAAAGTCATAGAGACGCATGATGTAGATTCTCATGCGTGCCCATTTCCACCCCTCCTTGTCCAAAAGCCTCTGCAAGTAGGCGACCACATCCACCTCAAACACTTCGAAGCTTCGGGACGCATGACCTGGGACCCGTGGGAGAAAACCTGAATTTATCACTATCCCAAAGCAACAAACCCCAAACCAACCAACTTGCGGACCGTTTTTCCCTGGTGGAGGATGGATTCCCTTGTGGATGATGGACACACGTCTTAGTACAGAACCAAGCAGTTGGGAAGGTGTTTCCGACAGGTTTTCCACCAGCATTCCCCAAACCCAAACAACTCAAAGAATCCCCCATCTTCAAGAGATCCTTCTTCTTGCCTGCCGGGTGGCCAAACAGGTGTGTAAATCGATCCACTCGTAGAGCACAAAGTTCTCCCGCAACGCCTCTTCCTCCACGGCTTGTGCCCATGAAAGGTACGTCCACTCGCACACCTCAGCCCATGCGAGGCCGTCGTCGGTGCCCCAAGGCCGACGCAGCCCCGAGGGGCTGCGCGACGTTCCGGCTGGCCGTTGGGGGATCCCCCCCGCCAGGCGAAGGGTACGGAGTCCGGAGTGACTCCTCTTCAAGGTCGGGTTCTGGGGCAAAGTGGGTTTGCGAAGGAAAACATGAGCGCAAGAGCATATCCTCAGGCTCCAGTCAATTTCAATCTCACAGAGATTGCCTCAACATGAACAAATGCCCTGGGATCACAGTGGACACCATTCCGTGTCTCTGTATTGTGTCATGACCCAAAACATAGGGTTCTGTTCTCCCACTCCCACCCGCGCGAGCCAAACCGCAATGTGTCAGCAGACTTCATTCAAGAACACATGTGCCACAAACGAGCCCCAAACTGCTCTGAACTCCAAGTCGAATATCTGATCTCTATACCTCAAAACAAATGCTTAACAGCAACCTCACCCCTGAAATGCGCCACCGGAATCCCAGGCGCCAAGAGAACAGCAAGCATCTCTCCTAAGGTGCCTGTCTTAGCCACTTCCAGCATCAAATCCTTGAAGCCCTTGGTGCAAGAAGCATCTGGGACTTGCTCCTGGGCTCTGAGGGATGCAAGATCGTCCGAGCTATTGGAGGCGCCTGGGATGGGTGTGAACTGCAGGGGTGCAGGTCTTAAACCACAACCTAAACTCAAGAAAGAACACCAGAAATCTTACTGTGGCAAGCATACCACCCACAAATCAAGCTTGGGATAGCGGATAGCTGACGTATTTCGAACACCTCGACGTGGAGTCCCCCTTTGCGTACGTTCTATATGTGTCTCAACCTGTTGAAACACGTGAAAACTCAATGCAAGGCCAGCTCTCCTTCAAGAACAAATTGGTCCGGCAAGTCTGACAACTATAAAGGTCACTGTCACGCCCAATACAGTATATAATGACACTCCTCCTAACCATCACGGAAGTGACACATGCTCACTTTTTGCAACGGAAACATTGTCCTTTCGAATACTTGTTTAAAGGGGGCAAGTGTAACTACACCGGTTAGACCCATGCCGTGCCGCTGTCGGTGTGAATTCTCTCAGCTGGGTATCTCTCTCAGCTGGCTTGCATCGGGGCAGCACAGCAAAGCAACGCTCGAAGTAGGTGTTCTCTTTGCCAGTGACCTGGAGAATGGTCACATCAAGAGCTCTTCATGAGGCTTCCCCCGCGTCCCCTCCATTCCAATCAGGGTGGGGGGGGTCAAAAATGGACTTGTATACTATACAGATCTGTACAAGGTACACTTGTGAGTCCATATAGGGTGATCTTGTACGTTGATAGGACCATGATAGAAAATTCTGTCGGATTGCGCTGATTAGCCCAACTCAACAGACTGAAGCTGTTTAGCCACGATCATGTCTTTCGACCATGCTGGGAAAGCTGCTTTGAACACCGCCGTCGCGGTCCACAGGACGTGCTCGTTACAGGAGGTCTGTCAAACAGGAATGTGCACAGAAGCCTAGAAGACGACATCTCCATTTCAATCTCCAAGTTGCCAAGGCCAGAAATTGACATCCGAAGATGCCTTGGTCTCCACCGGAGATGGGCCAAAAGGAGGACCACATGCCAGGGAGGAATGAAACTCGTAAGAATGAAGAATAGTCAAGAGATGTCAAGAGTACAATTCTGACTTACTCATATGGAAGCGGAAAATGCCTGGGATGACTACTTTCTTCTACAAACAGGCCGTTGTCCACTGCCACGTTAGGTAACTCTTAGTAAACCGATTCGGTGCGGGGTCTAGTCCAGTCTGGGTCCAGTCGGGTGCCTTTGGGCACCCAAACCGCTCGGAGCTCGAAGAGTCTGGAGAGTCCCAGAACAGGATAAGAAAGGAATGCTATCCATGGAGGTAGTCGGGGTGCCCAGGACATCCACGAAAACTGGATGGGACGAGCCACACCAGCCAACTCCATGTGACTCCTGGGAGTCGCATAGATCATCACTCCATCTTCGTTCCAAAATGGGTTTCCGGGTGCAATAAACAGTTGCAACACCAGCACCAGCAGCACCGGCGAAATCAAAGGGTACGCCAAAAGGGGACGTCGTACCCGGTACCGAGAAGAACGTTGGCACCATCTCTCCCTCCAAGCGTCGATCTTCCAAGCATCGTGCATGGGCCACCATGCTCGCCAGCAAGACCTCCGGTTGAGACCGGAAACCGTCAAACGGCTTCCGTCCGACGGTCACTGACCTGGATTTGAGTGGTCTTCCAATCCAGGTTACTCACTGAACTCCTGGGTAGGTGACCTGCAGGTGATCCAGGTAGGCGTCTTGGAAATCTTGGGGAGGCCCATCCCTTAGTCATAGTCAAACGAAGTGGAAGCCACTTCGACCCTTGTGTGGGCACGGTCGCTCTATATCTGTTTTACTTTCTTTTTTTTTTGGGGGGGTGCCGTGACACAGTAACAAAAATGCATACACCCCCAAGAACATCAAGCCCGCAAAAACCTCTTCTTTCAGGTCAATTTGTTCAACATGTCCGATGAACTTGTGCTGAAAAAATACTTGCGGCCCAGGCTCAACAAAGGAGTCCAAAAAGCGATGATCTTGGATCAAATATCCTTGGGACACCGAGGCTCGTCTCGTTGCTGGCAGGCTTGGACCCCGCAAGGTGCGAGCTGCAAGCGACATCAGGGAACACATTCGAACGAGGGCGATGGTTGTCTATAGTTCCTCATCCTCCCCGGCTTCAACTGTTGCTACAAACAATGAAGAGCCAAATATAAATCTTTGCGAAACACAAACTTGAAACTTGCATGAAAATTATTGTTACATCCCGGATGCCAAAGGCAAGACATCTTGGAAGAACCAACATCCACATGAAAACAAACATCTCTCTCCCTCTCTCTGCCTCCCTCCCCCCTCTCTCCCTCCCTCACTCTCAATCGTCTTCAAACTGAAGTCTGCCAATGGCAATATCTGGTGATTGCTGTTTCCCACGCGGAACTCACCCACCGGTGGACTGCGTGTCAATGTTCCCCGAAACGCTGGTGTGTTAAGAGCTAGTGATTTGGCGATTCAACCGACCAACAATGATTAATAATTCCTGAGAAGCAAGCCAACATTGCTTTTTTATCTGTTTATAAATATATTTAGAGGCTGTTCTACACTGGTAGGTGGAAAAAAGACACGGCAAAAAAAAGGGTCTCCAAGTACATCCTAAGGTCCTAAGTCTTTGGATGACAGTGTAAGACCTTCAATTCAGTTCCGACAAAAATGCCAACCTAAAAACGATCGTTGATCCCCGTAGGGATTAGGGAATATAATAGTTCTGTTCAGCTCAGATGAATGCCCTGCCACCTGCATCACCTAGGCGCGTCGCATGATCTTCAGGTCCAGGGTCCCCTTCGCCAAGTCTTTCCTACGAGTGCCGTCCGTCGGCGAGCTGAGTGGAACTGGAACCCATCTGACTGGATCTGATCAGCAAATGATCTGAATCAGTAAACCCTTAGGGATAGCACCAGGTCCAACATGATGCGAGCCATTTGCAGAATTGGTACATGAGCCATGCTGGGGACAAAAGCCTACGTGGCACTAGAGATTGCTTGGGAAAAGGCACAGGATGAGAACTCACCAAGTCAGGAGGCAAATAGTCTAGCGACCAAAGGCACCAAATAGTCTAGTGAAAATTCCAAGTTGTTCCGAAAGCGACTATCCGGGGTGAGAACAAAAGCAATGCACAATGCCCTTGAGAAAAAAAAAAACAACACAAACAAATTATAAGCTAACCTAGAACGTATGGGCATCGAACAAGGATTGCTCTCTCGATTGTTGCTTCACTTTGCCCAGGGGAGTCATTCTTTCTTTGGAAACCAACGGGCCCAAACACTTTCGTCGTTTTCAGATTGTTCAGCAAATCCGGACTCGGCTAAATACAACCAATCGAACAAAAAATACAAAAAGCAGGTGAACTTAATAGATTTACCTCATCGAAATGACCTCTTCATGTACATTAGCTAATTGCTGTAATATTATAGACATGGATGAATGCTTTGGGACTGTGACCATTCTCATTCCCTCAAAAAACCGCTCAAAACCGCTTCAACCGCATCAAGTCTCGTCCATCGATGATGCACCACGCGATTCCATTGATCTCTTGCTGCCTCTCTCAGCGTCTCCGAGAAGCGCGACCCCGTCGAAGCCATGGCGGGTGGGGATCCGTTCCGTAGCCCCAGTGGATCTGCGGTAGCGGATGGCAGGACCTGGAACGGTGGTGTAGCACATAGTGCCTAGGGCGCAAGGAGTGACATGTAGCTAATCCGGATGCTAATCCGGCTACAGGCAATGAACTTGCCAATTTTGAGGGCTCGGTAGGGCACACGTGGATGGTGATCATCAGCGTTAACCTGACACCACCAAACTGAAGAGATTTCGGGATGCGATCGGGACATCAAGCCGGGTTAAGACTTTAGATTCCATGTTGTGTCTGTGTAGTGATGTGACTTGGACGGAACTCCTGCACATCAACCTTTGCCTGGAAACTGAAGCAACAAGCGTGCGTACGCAAACACTCCATGTATATGACAAAAGCCTACCTTGGAAACAGTATGAAACAGTGGAAGCCAATGTCCCAAACAGGTTGAAGGTTATTCACTGACTGTGTAAGTGATATGAGGCTGCCTGTGATGGTGGCTGATGACCGACGCATGAGCAAGCAATGCAACGCATGCGCAAAGATCGAGGCACGCTTTGGATCCTCCAAATCCCGCACTGTGATGGAGTGCCCCTGGTGTGCCCAAAGCAAACCTGTGCAATGCATTGAAATGGGGAGACCTCCCAAAGACCCCTAGAAGGAAAGTAGACCAAAACACACGTTATAATTAATTAGAAACACCCAAATGTCCACGATCCCCAAATCAAGCCGCCCAGCCGGTCTTGGTATCCATATTGTGTGGGTTGATTGGCTGCCACTCTTCACAACTTCTTGACCGTTTTGACAAGGTCTCCCAAAGTTGCGGCAACTTTTGATTCGCACAAAACCTCAGTTTCAGTATTTCTTGGATTCCGGATCCGTTCCAAACCAACCAACCAACCTTAAGAGGGTCTCTTCCTGGCAGTTGGTTACCTGGGAGTGACTACTTGGTCGATCAAGCTGCCGTGCCGTTCGCCGCGTTCGTCCCGAACGCGTTCGCCTCGAGTCGAAGAGCTCCAAATCCTCCGGAGGGATCTCGGACCTGGGCGGAACGGCGCATCCAGCCGTCCAGCCGGTTGGGGTTTTGGAGACCATCCTAGGGTCAGGGAGAACGCAAGTGCGTGGCTCTGATTATATGGGGGAAAGTGCTCATTTCACGTCCCCCCCGCAAAAAGAATAGAAATAGGCAGGTTGGGACATGTCCTTCCGCACACATCAATGAAATGGGCTGGCTTCAAAGCAGGCCACTTTCAATACTCACTGGCATAGGAACCAAAACCACTGGGATTCCAACGGCCATGGTGTTCATGGTCTTTGAGTCTTTGCAGAAGAACCGTTGTTCCACTTTTGAAGGCTAGGCAAAACATGATTCAAACCTTCGACTCCTTGGATAAGAAACAAACATACCAAATGGAGGAACGGATGCAGTGTCTCCCAAGCCAGGCTTCTAGCAAGGGCCATAGTCATCCTTCCAATGCTTCAAGTTTTAGCACCAAACCCGTTTTCTTTTTTTCTGGGAAAAGCATGTGTTCCAAGCACCACTTCTCCATGTCATACAAGAAGTCATGCAAGACCGCTGCCCAGGTTGCAGTCAAAGTTTGGTCATGCCTGATCCACAATAACACCTAAATATTCTTTTATATCTTTATAGTATAGCAACCACGTGGTACAGTCAGCGTTCTCTTGTAAGTTTGGGCAGGGCTGCTGTCTTCTCTAGTCTTTCTCTGCCTTTCTCTGAAACCCCGGGAAGCGGCAGCGGCGGGGTCCCTGGCACAGCACTGCTTCGTCGTTCTCGAGCATCTTCTTTGGCCTTGGACCTGGTAGCTTCGTGGATGGCCCCGAAAGGACTGTGTTCCACGTCCGCATCCGGTGTCAATATGTCATGAATCCATCAACTTCTGAACAAACATTTAAGGATTTCAATCATAGATAATTACAAACAAAAGATGCAACAGAACCACAAAAAACTGTTTATCAACGAGATTCAACGAGGATTGCCTTTTTATCGTCGCCGTCGCCCATGGGCTCAGCATCACTAATCCCACTGTAGTAGCTCCTAACTAACTAGATCAAGTCCGACATCTTCTTGACAAAAACTGTTTCGTGCCAGAAAAACCATGTCGCCCACGACCTCACCTCGTATGTCCAGGCAAGATCTCAGTCATCGCGCCCGCAGTGTTTAGAGACCTCAGGGTCACTGCGTTTCGGGCAAAAAGTTTCTATATGTCGCCAAGCAAGTACACAAACAGTCACAACATGTTCCACGATGCGGAAAGGCCGAAAGGCCCGGACTCGACTTGAACTTCTTCTCGGCTGCGCCTGCGAAAAGCCACGAACCGGCAGGGCTGATTTTCCCGTGGAAAAACCACTCATCGGGATGGACAATGGTCATCAAAGAGGTCATGCCATCCACCTTCATGATGATTCCAGGGACTGTGACCGGTCTTCAGTTTAAGCCCACAACCCGGTGCTGAGTCGGGGCTCGACTTGCTCAGCTTCATCTCGGCTGCGCCTGGTGTACAGTACAGCAAGCATTGAGAACACTCCTTTCAATCCGCTAATGATTTCACTGCCAGGGTCAAGCGACAAACGGTCGCGCTGCGCTTGAATCACGCATGCCAACCCCAAAAACGCATACCATGCAATGAGACCCAAGATTCACAGCTGACTCTTCTGGCTCAGCTGACTCTTCTGGTAGTGTGCCTTGAAAAGGCCAAATATAGGCCGCGGCCAAGGGATTACTCAAATCTCATGCGCTTCATCCAATACGATTTGCCCCCCGATCCTCAACGGCCGCGAAGCGGCTGAAGCGGCTTCCTCAGCACCAGCTGGACCCCCCTGACCTCAGAAATTGGCCGCTGGGCCATAAGAAAGACTCCCGATTCGGAAGGCACCCGGGACCGTAGTAGTAGGAGGCCACGAAACAACATGAAAAAACATCAACTGATGGCATCTGATTGCACTACTAGTGATTGTCACCTGGCCTACTCAAGACCCGTTTATAAACCTGATCAGCATCAGCCTTGTCTGACAGGTGCAAAGGAACACGAAAACCATCGGATGAGAAGGACACATCAGGTCAATGATTATGATCTGGAGGGCGGCCAGGGTAAGAAAAGCAAGCGACTCCATGAGAAAGTCCTCTTCCTTTAGGGCTCCAACTCCCTCCTGAGAAGGTCAAAGGTCGTTGTGGGGGGGTGGGGGGTGTCTAACTACCTTCTGAGGATGTGGGCCTGGAGCCCAAAAAGGGTTCAATGAACTAGGCCCAGGCCTACGCCACATCCAACCTCTGAATCCCATCCCCTCGGTGCCACACGGGGCTGTAGCAGAAGTGAGCCGGTCTGTAGTAGAAGCTGTTGACCCGGTGCTGACTCTGGACTGGACTTGCTCAACTTCATCTCGACTGCGCCTTGTGCAAAATCAGGCACGCAATTTCAAGAACAGTCTGCAACTGCAAAAAAATAGTTATGCTTTCACCCATGAGAAACCCATGAGAAACGCATGAGAAATGGCTCTGAATGAGTATACATCAGCATTTAAAAAAGAAAAAAGCATAACCGCTGCATGTTTCGCATGTTTAAAAGGTACCAACCAAAACTCTAACTGCACGGTCGTCTCTTTTCTCGCCGATTTGATTGATCCATACTGAGCCCCGATCCTCAGCGACTGTTGCCTGGAAGCAGCTTGCTCGCTGTCTGCCATGGCACCAGCCCCACCTCTAGACCTTGCATGAGGTCGAGCAAAGCATCATGTAGGTGCTCACCGCTCACAAAACACTTTCAAGGAAGTGTGGAAAAATTAACATATACCAGGACCCTCCGACAGGTCACCAATTGAGACCTGTTGGGGTCCAACAACCCTCAACTAATAGCCTGTTGGAGGGCGCTGGTATATCTTTAGTTGTTTCGTACAGCATGTCGAATGATGTCTGACGGTGTGGGATTAGTAGGAACAACTTGTGACAAACATCAATTCAGCTCTAGACAAACCTTTGCATCAAACATCTGGATCTTGTCTCTCGAGAACGCAGGATGACTTGGCGCGCGCGCTGAGAGGCTGCGCGCGCGGAGTCCAAGCCCTGGGCCCTGTGCTGAGCCTGGATTTGACTTCTTCAACTTCATCTCGACTGCGCCTTTTGTCACCGAGGACACCAAGGATCATAACTCGACTCAAGCTAGCACGACGGATTTTCAGGGAAGCGAAGACATGGATTTTTCACTTGCTGGTCCTCTCTGCACAGGTGCCAGCCAAAACATGACCTCGTTACAACGCATCCCAACAATTCTCGCTGTGTTGAAGCATCGCCCACTCCTGCACCCTGTCGACAAATCCTGGAGCTCGCCTGGAAGCTTGCTCGCTGTCAGCATCTTGACCAACGGACCTCGCTGCTGGACGCCAGGACAATCTTTTGGGAATTTGAAAAGTGAAGATTTGACTTGTCTGACCTTGTTGAATTCCAAACATGCTCAGGAAGCCTTTGACAAAAGCCCAAAGAGCCTTTTTGTAAAGCGAGGAAAGCAACCACAACTCCTTGCGAATGCGAAGCGTCCTCGTGTGTTCTAGCAAAATAAAATTCAACATGTCAGCTAGGCTTCCCGGCACGTCAGTGTGCTTGGGGCCTGCTTGCAGCATGGTCTCCTTGCTGATTCTTGACCTGAAGCGACCCCAAACAAAACAAAAAAGAATCATGGAATATAACTCCTGACTCCTGAATTGAATCTCATTTGTGTTTTTCTTTTTTTTAATGCCCTTCAACCAAATGCCATGCAAAAAAGAGGTATACTTAAGGATGGCCCAATGCCATTGCAGAAACTAAAGGAAACGTCCCCGCCTCTCATGCTTGATCCGTTAACATGCATGATGTGTTGCTCCACAATGACCCCACCAAAAAACATGCTCATAGCGTAAATGAACGTCTAGCAAATGAAACACACCACGGTAAGCAAATATGGCCTATGGCCAGGCCATGGAGCGTCATAGTTTGAAGGGTGAGTTGAGAAGGAGAGCCCCCAA